TGGTACATGGAGGGGATTATAATCAATGTAATGAAACAAGGTATATGATTTGTTGAATGTAAAACTGATGATATGCCCTGTAAACCTTCACTCAATCCACAATAAAAACCTTAAAAAAAGAAAGAAACAAACAAAAAGCTTTCTAATGTTGCCTGAGCAGGGCAGAGTCCAGGCCAAAGTGGCTGAGGGCTAAGGTAGGGCTGAGGAGAAAGCTGTCCTGACTGGAAGAACTGTGCCCTGAACATTTCTGACCCTAAGTTGTACCCTGTTAACTTCCCTAATAAACCCCACAATCTTGAGAACTGTCTGACATTGCAATGAACCATCACATCCCTTCCAGAGTACTCTCTACTTCTCAGCTGGGCTTGATAGTTCTTTCATAGTTTGGATATGTTAACAGATGGGACCAGTCCCTGGAGAAGGACATGCTTGGTAAAGTAGAAGGTGAGCAAAAAAGAGGAAGACCCCAAAGAGATGGACCGACAAAATGGCTGCAACAACAGATTCAAACAGCAATGATTGTGAGTATTGCCATGTGGCTGCTGTGTCAGAACGGACTCAACAGTGCCTGACAACAATCAGAAGTAACCACTGAGTCAGGCAAGGATCATCAATGGATGCAAACACCAAGTGCAAGGGAATAAGATACTCACATGGTCTTAAAATGTCACCTCACAAACTAGTTATAAATGACAAAAGAAAAAAATTGTATCTTTACAATAATAATAAAATAGCTCTTTATCCAAGTGATTGATACAGTTTCCAAAAGTGGGACAAACTGATATTAACTGTGTCCTATTGTGAAGATCATGTATTATTTCTACCCAAAATAGTTAACTGAATTCAGTCATGAAGAAACAAAGAAATCCAGATTATGAGTGGGGCATTCTACAGGACAAGTGACCTGGACTTTTCATCAAAGCCAAATGGAAAAGAAATGGTAAATTTCTCATCAGAAATCATGTCAGTCAGGAAAAATGTGGCATGTTTTTCAAGTGTTCAAGAAAAGAACTGCCAGACTACAATCCTATATGCAGCAAAAATATTCTTTAAAAATGAAAGGCAAATTAAGTCATTCTCATACCAGGAACACTGAAAGGATTTGTTGCCAGAAAAGCTATCTTAAAGAATGGCTAACAAAAAATGGTAACCGAAATCTTGAAATGCATTTCAAGATGTGATTGTTGTTAAGTGCCGTCGAGTCAGTTCCGACCCGAAATATCTGGTAAGTTTGAACTGCTGACCTTGAAGTTAAAACCGACTTTTCAGTCCAGTGCATTAACCCACGGCGCCACACCAGGACTCCCAGAGCCACACCAGGATACTCAAGAGTGGTATCACCTTACAAAAAGCAACTTGGTCTTTGTTCTGAATATTTTTAAATCAAACCAATAACTGAGCCTGAACAGGGGCTGGTCAGACCCCACGAGACCACCTGAAGGGTTGATAGTAAGATTCATGAGGCATGGTGTTATCTATCATGGTCACAGGGTAAGGCCAAAAAGTCCTGAGCCCTACATCATTTTTACAATCTTCCTTATTCATCGTTCAACTTTTGCATGCATATGAAGTCATTAAAAATACTGTAGCTTGTTTTAGAAGTCCCCTGATCCTCAAAGTGACACCTTTGTTCTGTGACACTTTACGTAAGTCTTCTGCAGCATATTTCACAATGCAATATTTTGTTTGACTCCCCAACTGCTGCTTTATTGTGGATCCAAACAAACTGAATTCCTTGAGGATGAATGATGTTGCGCATCTCCTCATATGCTGATTTGCCATCCAGATATCTTTCTGGTGGCATGCATGTCAAAATCTTTTGTCCATTTTAATTATAATGTTGTTTGTTTACTTATTGAATTTCAATAGCCCTTCATATATTCTGGATACAGAGACTTTATCAGACAAGTGATGTGCAAGTGTTTTACTGTCTGCGGTATGCCTTTCTATTCCTTTTACAGCATTGTTCAAAAAACAAATTTCATGAATTCCATTTGTACTTGACTTTATTTTTTATTGTGGAGTTTTAAGAATTCTTTCTGTATTTGGGACATAAAGCTTTTATCATATATGTGCTTTGCAAATATTTTTTCCCAGTCTTTGGTATGTCTTTTCACTTTCTAAACAGTGCCTTTTGAAGCGATGCTTTTAATTTTAATGATGTTCACCTTACCAATTTTATCCTTTAAAGGGTTGTTTTTGGTGTTGAATTTAATGTGAAACTAATATTTATAGCAGTTTTATTTATAATTGCTAAAAATTGGAATCAAGTAAAATGTCCTACAATAAGTGAATGAATAAACTGTGATATCTTCATACAATAAAGTACTATTCTTCAATAAAAAAAATTTTTTTTTAAGATGTCCTGAGCCCTGGTTGGTTCAGAGGAGCTTCCTGGTTGGTGACCATGTATGGGAGAAGACACATGGAAGCTCTGTGCTGGGACCCATCCCACATACCATACTATACATGTCTTTGTCTTTATCCTTTTGGGTTATAATCAAGTTATAGCCATAACTGTGGTGTTGTTGTTGCTAAGTGCTGCTGAGTTGGTTCCAACTCATACTGACCCTGTATAGAGTTTCTGAAGAGCAGCTGGTGGTTTCAAACTGCTGACCTTGTGGTTTGCAGTCCAGTGCTGATCCTACAGCGCCACACCAGATGTACTAATTGCGGTATAATCCTGCCAAACAGGCAGACACCTGCTTGTTTTCACTACCCCTGTGGGTTTGTTAATCTAAAACAATGCACAGAATTCACAAGGGGTATAATTGTGGTACATCCTCCTCAAGAATTCTGTGCGTTGTTCCGGGAGATGAACAAACCCACAGGGGCAGTGAAAGCAAGCAAGGGCTGGTGTCTGCCTGTCTGGCAGTCTGAAAGGTGTCCTTCTAACTTGTGGCTAGGGTCAGGGAAAGGCTGCATGGGCAGTTGCTCTGAAATAAGGCATCCATCTGACAGTTCCAAGAAGACAGAGTCAGAGAGAGAGAGAGTGTTGCTTGTGTGGGATGGGGACGTGAGCCAGTGAAAACGGGCATCCATTTCCATACTTTGGGAATAGGATTCATGCTGATATTTATAGCAGGTAGCTAGCAAAGAGGTACAGTTTTCCCACTGTGCATCTTATTTGATGCAATCATGAGGAAAGAATGAACACAGTAAGTAAACATGTAAGTAAACACAATAAGCTTCTCTTTTCCTGTTGTGTGTTCTACATTATATTTGCTGATTAAAATAATTATAACAGTCTGATCTGATTGTAAAACCAAAAACTAAACAAAATAATGCAAAGAGAGGGTTTGGGGCTGTTCCAAGATTTTTAAAAGATACCATAAACCAATATAATATATATAATATTGATTAGGTTCTGGATTGGAGAACTATAAAAGATATTTTTGGCACAAATGAGAAAATTGAATATGGATTATATTTGGATGTTGTTGAGTCAGTGCTAATTTTCTTGGCTTTGATAATGGAATTGTGGTTATGTAAAATAATTTCCTTTTTCTTAAAAGATCCATACTGAAGAATTTAGGGGTGAAATGTCATACTGAAACTTAACTTTCAAACAATTCAGACTTTAAAAAGTAGTGTGTGAATATCGACAGAGAGAGAGGAAAAAGAAAATCATTCAAATGTTAACAATGATGAATTTCGGTTAAGGCTTATGGGCAGACTTAAAAAAGTGTGAGTATCGACAGAGAAAGAAAGAGGAAAAAGCAAACAATTGCAATCTTAACAATGATGACTTTTGGTTAAGGCTTATGGGCATTCATTATTCTACTTTTTAAGTTTTTCTATAGGCTTGAAAATTTTCAAAATAAAAGTTTAAAAATATACTAAGTGGACTAGTACAAAATATATATTTTTGTGTGTGTGTACACACACACATATATTCCTAAGCATTCCAAAGGACAAGTTATTGCTTTTAAAAAAACAGTATACCTAGAAAGTATACGTTGAAAACCTGGGGGGCCTAACTATGACTTTGAAGAAAACCAGAACATTCTTGAGGGGTCCTCACCTGCCATATTTACTGCTTGTGTAAAGATATCATCTTGGGCACTTCGAGTTCTGTTGTCTTCTTTGATGAACTCCGAATATGGTATTGCCTCCCTCAAAGTTGTGGGTGTTAGCAAGACATCAACTCCAGAGTTAAAAACATCCATAAAATCATTAGCAATGAGCCGTCTCACTTTCTGTGCTTTGATGAAATAATTCTCATAATTTCTGTGGAAAAAAATTAGATGCCATTTTAATGGCCTTTTATTATTTCTTTCAATTGATTTTCATACATAACGATTATTAAAGAACCACTGTATTCTTGGTTTTATGAATATCCACCACTAAGACTCCTATGATACCCATATATAAGTTTTGTTCAACTGTGCTGTATCCTAAAATTTTTATCTACCTGGAATATAATCCATCAAAACTCACTATTAGCTGCACTTCAACACACACGTATAGTCACAAATGTTAACCCTTCCAGGGTACAACACTAAAGCAGTACATTCATCATGTTCAGGTGAGAAAAATCAATGACGGATTACAGAGAGTGGCAGTGGTAGAGGACAGGGTTAGAACATGGGTCACCAGAGGCACATTTCAATCCTCTTTCTATAACAATGTCTTATTTCATCAACACCAAAACAGGTACCATAAATATATTCTATATGTTCAAGCTGTAGAGGAAAATACAAAATAATGAATAACTAAAAAGACCCACATCAGACTTCTGGAGATGAAAAACACATGAAATAAAAATATACTGGATGGGGGTGAAAGCAGACCGACACAGGAAAAGAAAAGATCAGTGATACTGAAGATAGTATTAGAAACTATCTAACAGGGAGCACAGGGAGACAAAAGATTGATATCCATCCCAACTCGTTCTTTTTCTAATGAGCTGTAGAAGCCCTGGAAAGATGGGGATGGGGGTGGCAGTATGGGTATTTGAAGAAATAACTGCCAACATTTCTTAAATTTGATTAAAATTAACTCTAAACCTTCTAATTCTAAAGCCTCAACAAACCCTGAAGCAGTATACATAGAAAATCACAGGGGCCCATTACTGTGAAATTCCTGAAAACCACAGATCAAGTCTCAGACTAAGCTAGAGGAAAAAGACATGTTATATACAGAAGAATAGGATAAGAATGACCACAGACTTCTCAGAAACGAAGCAAGTCAGAAGACAATTTATTATTTTTTTTATTTATTAAATGTTTTTATTTTGGATTGAGTGAAAGTTTACAGGGCACATCATCAGCTTCACATTCAACCATTCATATAGCTTGTTAGTCAGAAGACAATTTAACATCATCTTTGAAATAGTGAAAGAAAAAAAAAACATTAACCTAAAAAACCATTTATCATACTCAGTGAAAATATCTTTAAAAGTTAAAATCAAAATAAAGATTTTTATATAGAACCAAATGTAAAAGAATTTGTCAGCAGACTTTTACTACAAGAACTGTTATAGGAAGTTATTCAGGCAGAAAGAAAATTACACCACACGGAAATCTGGATCTACACAATGACATGAAAAATTTAAACCATAATATGTAGGTATAAATAAATGACTATTTGTCCTAATGTTAAATCTCTATAAGAAAATATATAGTTTAAAGAAAAAATAAAAGAAGGCAAGGAAAGAGGTGAAAAGAAAGAAAGAGCAGATGATCAAAAAGAAAATGAATACTAAGAGGTAGATTTAAGCACGTTTCAAAAATAAATGCCAATTAAAACATAACTCTTGATTTGTAAATCAATAAACTTTCTGTGTTTTGAACAAGAGATACTAGAATGACAAAATTATACACTGAAGTATGATATGAGTAAAAATGTTCAAAGATTTTACAAATCTCAAGATTTGAGTTCTTGAGATTTTTTTTCAAAAAGTGTTTTAAATCCAAGAGGTTACTTTGGAAGGACCTGGAATGAGTGAGAGAAAACAAGGAACAAAACTCAAATCATAAAAATGATTTACTGGTCAGGTACAGACTGGTGGAAACCTGAGACTGTGGCCTTGGTCACCCTTCAGGTTGGGAGCTGAATTCACGCCTGTGGTTTCTTTTTCAGCCAAGCAGTGGATAGGCATATAGGGGACAACAGTACTAGAAAGGTATGCACTCCACAGCATGGTCAATCACTCAAGATCCAAAGGGCAGCCTTTACCCAAGGACAAAGTCAGCAGGGTGGGCAAAGAAGAAGAATGGGAAAGAAGACACACAGGGAGGAAGTGGGAGAAGTGGTGTTACACAGAGAAGACTGCAATCAAGATGAAACACAGGGTATGATTGGCTAAATGTAAAACATGATCTGCTCGACAAACCTTCATTCGATTCACAAGAAAAAGTTTAAAAAGTCTTCCAAATCCCATCTTTTTAAATCAACCATGTCCAATTCCTCACAAAGCAAACAAACAAACAGCCCCCCACACAACAACAAAAAAAACTTGATCCAGGTTAGAACTGGTTCAGAAGCTAGAGATAACAATCAAAAACACTCATTTTCTTTCCTTAACACCCCTAATTGGTGATTATGAAAAATATCTTTGGACTTTCCCCCCTCAATTTCTTTTTTAAAATAATATCTTGCTGTATTTTTAGTTTAGGTTCCTGTTCAATATTTCTACACATGTTGTTCAGTACAACTGATTGCATTCTTCGCAATGTGTGAGGATTATTATTTCTGTTCTGGTTGTTCCTCAATTGTTTTTTATGCTGCTATGACGACCTATAAATATAGTCAAGTTGTACCCTAAGACATACAATATATTTCTAGTCAGTAGTATTTTGCAAATGTAACATTTTTGGCTTAATAAAATTTCATTTTCTTTTCCTATTCCTAAGTCATTTCAAGTATCTGGTCAATACAGAGAAGGATTTTTTAATATAAAATATAATCAAATACATTTTTAGAAAGAAAAAAATCCTATTGACCCTGAGGAGATGCACAGATGATAAAATAATTCTGCCTTGAAGAAAAATTCCAAGAAGCTACTCATTACAATAACCACTATTTCTTTTTCTCACTTCTCATGACAGACTTGGTGGTGTGGAAGATGAATTGTATTCAGAAGATTATCCATGTCAATCTAAGTAAGATTCAAGTTAATTTAGCATTCTTTCTTGGAGCAAATAGATATGTCATGCATACATATTACCTCATGGCATTACTTAAGGCTCTAAAGCAAAAACCAATGTCTCATTAATAGCTGCAAAACTCCAAACCAAACACATGCCCTCAAGTTCACTGTGACTTACAGCAACGCTATAGGTCAGAGTGGAACTGCCCCATGGAACGTCCAAAGCTGCCACATGTCTCTCCTGGGGAGCTGCGGGTGGGTTTGAACTGCCAGCCTTTTGGTTAGCAGCCTATCATTTTAACCACTGCACCACCAGAGCTCCTCCAGTAAAGTCAGGGGAAGCGAAAAACCTCCAGGGCTTCTTGTTTAGTTTGTACTAACTACCTAAATGTTGTTTGCTGTTAAGTGCCGTTGAATCATCTCTGACTCACAGTGACCCTAGAGACAGTTTCCAAGGAGCGGGTGGTGAGTTTGAACCGCCAACCTCACGGTTCAACTATACCTTGAGGTCTAGTGCATTATCCCACAGCGCCAAACCTAGACTCCAACCACTTTATGTGACCTTTGATTTCTGGTTATACAAAAACAAAACAAAAAATAACGATGCTCTAACCACTTAAATTAAGGAGCTCTGGTAACGTAGTGGTTACGAATCGGATTGCTAACCTCAGGGTCAGCAGTCTGAAACTAAAAGCTGTTCCGCGGGAGAAAGATGGGGCTTTCTACTCTCGTAAAGATTTACAGCCTCAGAAACCCTGTAGAGGGTCACTATGAGTCAGAAACGAGTCCACGGCACATGGACAACAACAACAAAAACCACTTAAATTGTTGTTGTTGTTAAGTGCCATCAAGTCGGTTCTGACCCATAGCGACCCTGCATAGGGTTTCCGAGGAATGGCTGATGAGCTTGAACTGCTGACGTTGCAGCTCAAATCGACTTTGCAGTTAGCGCATTAACCCAGTGCCACACCAAGACTCCAACCACTTAAACAGAGCATCAGTATCTTTTGTTTTGTTTTTGTATAACCAGGAATCAGAGGTTACATAAATATGTTCTAATTCAAATTAAATACGATTTTTCTTCTTTAGCAAATATCTCAACTTAGAAGAACTGAGAGTCATGCTAGGATTTTACTTTTAAGGTTTTAAGACAAAGGGAAAAGTCCTAAACTAATCTCTTACTCTTTTAATAAGAAGAAGTTCCCTGAGAGAATTCTTCCTCTCACTACATCATTGAACCCTTCTCGTCTGGTTGCAGCATACATAGCTTCCAAAGATACATCATTGTTACATCTGTGACCTGCAAACAAAACAAAAGATTAACATGACTTAAGAAGAAAGCACAGTTCTGGCTAAACATTGGTCTAGGTTCACATTGTGGCCAGTTCTAGAATACTGGGAGATTGCTCTAATGGTTCTTCTCCTCCATCTGCCACGACACTGTGATTAGTCAGGAATCAAGGAAAGAGAAGAAAATAGCCAAGAAAGGAACTTGATCTGTTCACATCTTCATTCATTCAAGTATTTATTAAGCTCCAACCATGTGCCAGGCACATGGTAGTGGGTTAAGCGTTGAGCTGCTAACAACAAAGTCTATGATTTAAAGTCACCAGCTGCTCCGAGAAAGATGAGGCAGTCCATCAACATTTAGAGTCGTGGAGACCCTATGGAACCATTCCACTCTGTACTATTGGGTTACTATAAGTCAGAATCAACTTCAGAGGCAGTGAGTTCTGTGCAATGCACTACATTAGAAGGCTTAAAGAATACAAAGGTTAGATACAATTCACGAAATTCATAGTCCTGAGCCATATGATAAACACTAGACTGCGAACCAAAAGGCTGGAGGTTTGAGCTCACCACAGGAGAAAGATGAGACTTTCTGTTTCCTACACAGGATTGCTGTGAGTTGGAACTGACTTGACGGCACTTTGGTGAACTGAACATACACATGTTTATGATGAAAAGCATAAATATAATGCTAAACTGACAAAGTTAAAATGATTTCCTATTTTTCTGAATCATTAAAATAATTTCAAGCAATAACTTTGACACTAATAAGTGAACCTCTCAAATATTTGAAGCAACTAGTTTTAACACTACCCCAAAACAGTCTTACCATATTCTAGTCCATCAAATCGTGCCATATTTGATGCTACTTCCGATGTGCACAATACATGGTAGCAAACTATTGAATAACTTGTGTGAGGCAGGGACACTTCGATGACTTTAGCCCCCTGGGATTCAAAGAGGTCAGCAGCTTTGCTCCAAAGAGATTGTACTTCACTTGATAATTCTGGTACAAGATATTCCTTATAGGAAAAAGTTAAGATGAAGAAATTGAAACATCTTCACAGGTGATTTTACAAAAATTCGTACTTACAAATCTTCAGTACTACATTAGAAAAGCTGATTAAATTGCTGTAGTAGTTGGAAAGACTTAACCCATTTGGGTTAATTTAGAGAATTATCTACCATCGCAATAATTTTTCAGATAACTTTGTTGTGTTACTATAAAAACAATTCTGTTGTAACATGTTTTACTATTATATTAAACTAAAGTTATGTGAGCAGGTCACGTAGTAAGTGCTGAAATCACTACAAGATACTGACACCCAGGACAAAGGCAAGACAACCCTCCAGTGACTGAACCATTATGATACAATGACAATGTTGTTAAACGCTGTCGAGTCAATTCCGACTCATAGTGACCCTATATAGGGTTTCTGAGGGGCAGCTGGTGAACTTGAACTGCCGACTTTGCAGTTCAAATGGCTTTGCAGTAATCCACAGTGCCACACCAGGACTCCAATGATGATATATTCAATGCCAAAGATGCTTTCGGAAATAGGTATATGAATAAAAACTATATAAAACTTTTTTTAAAAGGTAACATTTTAATGCCAAAATAATACTCATGTAAATATTATGTATAAGATTGTTTACAGCATGCGAATTGCAGTACTAGATATTATGAGTACTGGTTATTAACAACTGGAAATCTGGTTGAGGAACTCATATTTTTAAAATGTTTATTATGTATAAGCATCTCAGTTTAGTACTTACACATAACAAACATTTAATAAATAGGAGTTTCTCAACTTTATTTTTAGGAATCCTGGTGTGGTGCTGTAGGATAATGCACTGGAAAATAAGGTCAGTTTGAATCACAAGGTTGGCAGTTCAATTCACCAAAACATTCCTTGGAAACCCTATACAGGGTCACTGAGACTCGGATCCAACTTGAGGGCACTTAACAACTTTATTTCTATGTAAATAACACGCATCTTATATGTGCATTTGCCAATCGGTTCTACCCCACCTTCCACAAAATTTTGTAAGTACCACTACAAGTAATTGTTTTCCTTTTGCTGTAAAAAAAATTTTGCACAGCATGATTACAAACATACAACCCAGGGGGAGAGAGTGTGATGTGCATAAAAGCATGGGATTCTGATAGATGATTTCCAGAGGTTCTCTCATTTCATCCTTTTAACAAATCCATAATGTAGGTAACATCATCCCTCATAAATGAAAAATACTGAGACTAGAGAAGTTAAGTAACTTTTCTAAAGTTATATAACAAGTAAGTAGAGGATTTAGGATTCCAAGCTTGGTCTGTTTCTAATGCCTGTGTTCTCTCTACATCCTTAAAGAAAGTGAAGATTACCTTTATGAAGGATTTTGAAGACACTGGTAATTTCTCTATGGACTTGACTTAATTGGAGTTTATTCTGTCCTATTTCCTCCAACCACAGGCCATTAAGCAACGCAGACATTTATATATGTGAGTGGGTGGGCATTACTACTGGTCTCTAATGAGCAGAGTCCTAAATATCCTACAATGCACAGGACAGCTCCCTGTGACAAAAAGTTATCCAGCCAAAATGTCAATGGTGCCAAGGTGAGAAACCCTATTTTCTATAAATGTCTTTCTAAAAGATTTAAAGCACTCATTCATCGCTAGGTTTAACATTTTAATTATTTTTAAAAAGCTCAGAAATGTACCACATTTACATTCATGTATAAGTTACTCCACTGCTAGCTGCTACAATAAGTATACCACAAATACCAGTTACCATCAATTCTAACTCATGGTGACCCAAGTGTGCTAGAGTACAACTGTCCTCCATAGTGTTTTATTAGCTGATTTATAATGCACCAGACTGCAAAGCCATTTGAACTGCAAGGTTGGCAGTTTAAGCTCACCAGCTGTGCCTTGGAAACCCTATACAGGGTCACTGTGGGTCAGAACTGACTCAACAGCACTTCACAACAACAATAACAACAAGAAATCTCTAAGCACTCAAATGCCATTTTTCAGTTAACAGCTAAGTATGTTAACCATTTACACCACCAGAAACTCCGTAAGTATTAAAAACAAAACAACCAAACCTATTGCGACTGAGTCAATTCTAACTGATAACAACCCTACATAGAAAGCCTCACTTTCTCCCTGGAGTGAGTGGCTGGTGGGTTTGAACTGCTACCCTTACAGTTAGCAGCCCAACACTTAATCCACAGTGCCACCAGGGCTCCTTATAATAGGTACTGTGGTGGTGGTGGTGGTGGTGATAGTTAAGCACCATCAAGTCAATTCTGACTCACAGCAACCCTGTGTAGAGTTTCCAGGGCTATAAAACTTTACAGGAGCAGAAAGCCTCATCTTTCTCCTGTGGAGTGGACTTGAACTGCTAACCTTGTGGTTAATAATAACAGTATGGATGATAGCATTTACTGAGGTCTTACTATGTAAATAAGGACATAGGTTGAGTCCTTCACATGTCTGTGGCTTCTTTCTGCTGCAGTGGAGGGGTTTACACATAGTAATGACCAGATGGCTCACAAAGCCTAAAATATTTACTATCTGGCCCTTTACAGAAAAAGTTTGCAAACTGCTGCTTTACACGGCTATCTAATTTAATACTGCGAATTATCCCTATTTTACAGATGAAGAGATTGCGCTTAGAGAGATTAAGTCATGTGTTCAAGGTCAGATAGCTGAAAGTGGCAGAGATTCAACTCCAACCAGTTTGCCTTCCAAGTCTGTGCTCTGTATTTCGCTTGACAGTATTTCTACAAGTAACAGTTGGAAGGAGTTACCTTTGGAATTCCTACACATAATTTGCTCACATCTGTCAAACTTGGAAGCACAAATGGCTTAACAGGGTCTTGTACTGTGGTAGAATCTTTGGGATCCTGTCCAGCTAGTACACCTGTAAGGAGAAACACTTATCAGCAACAGACATACTGTTTCACAGGATTTGGAAACGCTTTGAAGCGTTATGGAATCATATAAATACCCAAGATAATTGCTGCATCATCCACACATCTGGTTAAGATTCCTGGCACATCCATTGAGTTCACCAGGGGTATGAGGCCGTGACGGGATACTAATCCATAGCTTGGTTTTAAACCGACAAGCCCACAGAGGGCAGCTGGATTCCTGGTTGATCCTCCTGTATCGGATCCTAAAGCCCTGGAATTTAAATGGAATTCTCTTTAGAAGAAGAACATTTACTAATTATATTTGGTAACTATATTCTAAAATATTTCTTCTTAAACTGTGCTTCGTCCCCTGATTATACAAAGCAATACATGTTCATCACAGAGAATTCATAAACTACAGAAAAGTGTAACAAAGTAACAAAATTATTCCACTAGTCACAGGCTAACACTTTTCATGTGTTAACACCATGCCTTTTTTAAATGCATTCTTTTTTCATAGTTGAGATCATTCTGTAATCATAAGCTTCTATCCCAATTTTGTGTATCATGTTGTTGTTAAGAGTTATCGAGTTGGTTCTGACTCATAGTGTCCCTGTATAGGGCTTCCGAGGAGTGGTTGGTAGGTTTGAACTGCTGACCTTTTGGCTAGCACAGTTACACACCAGGAGTCTTTCAGAATTCTTTTTTTTTTTTTTTTTAAATCACTGATAATATAAAATGTATATAATATTCCATCACATATATTGGTAATTCCAAATATTTTAAAGTTCATTCTCCTTATGGGTATAAATAAAAATCTTATACCTTCCTTTAATATTACTTGGCATCTAGAAGAAATCAAATTAATAGCAAGTTTACATATGGGTTTACCATGAGTAGGCATCAACTTGATGCCAACTGGTGGTAGTGGAGTAAATGAAACATCCCACCATCTCCTGTCTCATTTAGAATCAGAGACAACAATGCACTGTTGTTGTTATGTGCCGTGGAGTCGGTTCTGACTCATAGTGACCCTGTATA